AGGTGGGAAGTCGGGTCGGTATCACGTCTGCCCTCGTGCTGTTCGATTTTTAGGGTTTTTTTCTCTTTGTTTTTCATCATTTTCTCCTTGGTGACAGCAGTCCCCGCACTGTACGGCTCGGGACAAAGGCTCCTTTATGGCAATGCTCACTACAAAAGTTTCTGAGCGAAGTGGGGAGGCTGCTAACAAACGTACAGCGCGTTCGGATACTTACAGCTGTGAGGGGGGGGAGGAGAAAAAAAATAGATCTCTTCTCCCCAACGAGATGTGGAGGGGGGGGGGGGGAAGGATAGAGAGCAATGATTTATTGAGAAAAGTTCAAGTCCAGGATTAACCCAAACCAAAATATAACTTCAGATGTTTGCCCAGATCAACCAAAGGCGACTTTCACAGCTCTGGAGTTTTCATTTGTGGACAAACCGCTGTGGTGTTTTCGTCCCCGAATTGTCAATTTCGCATTGAAATGAATCCATTTCATCCCCGAGCTCTGCACAAAACGCTGCTCGACGTGTTCTGTTCGCATTGCATTGGGAAAACGAGGGCTCACTCCGGAGCGGGGGGATGTAGGGGGGGTGTTGGAAGGGGGATGGGGGTGGATTGGGTTGGTTTGGGTTGGATTTTTTGTTTTTTTTAACTGTTTGCAGAGAAATGAGAAGTGATGTTCGTGGGAAGGAGTCCGGTGTGACGCCTGAAGAGTCCGTGGATGGATGGGATCGGGGCTGCAGGGAAATATAGGGGGAATATAGAGAGAAATGTAGGGAAAATAGAGGGGAAACTGGAGCGGGGGAGGGAATAGAGGAGAAATAGAGAGGAAAATAGAGGGGAGATAGAGGGTGAATAGAGGGGGACTATAGAGGAGATAGAGGGGAAATAGAGGGGGAGTATAGGAGAAAATAGAGGGGGAATATAGGAGAAAATAGAGGGAAATAGAGGGAGAATGGAGGGGAAAATATAGGGAGAATGTAGGAGAAATACAGGAGGAATCATAGGGAGAATATAGAGGGGAAAAGAGAGGGGAATGTATGGGAAAATATAGTGGGAATGCAGGGGAAAAAATAGGGGAAATACGAAGGGAAATATAGTGGAAAATAGAAGGAGAATATAGTGGAAAATCTAGGGGGAAATCTAGGGGAAAATATAAGGGAAAATACCGAGGACCCCCCCCC